TGAGGTAGGATAACAGCAAATGAGCTGAGGAAGGATAACAGCAAATGAGCTGAGGTAGGATAACAGCAAATGAGCTGAGGTAGGATAACTGCAAATGAGCTGAGGTAGGATAACAGCAAATGAGCTGAGGTAGGATAACAGCAAATGAGCTGAGGTAGGATAACTGCAAATGAGCTGAGGTAGGATAACAGCAAATGAGCTGAGGTAGGATAACAGCAAATGAGCTGAGGTAGGATAACAGCAAATGAGCTGAGGTAGGATAACTGCAAATGAGCTGAGGTAGGATAACAGCAAATGAGCTGAGGTAGGATAACAGCAAATGAGCTGAGGTAGGATAACAGCAAATGAGCTGAGGTAGGATAACAGCAAATGAGCTGAGGTAGGATAACTGCAAATGAGCTGAGGTAGGATAACAGCAAATGAGCTGAGGTAGGATAACAGCAAATGAGCTGAGGTAGGATAACTGCAAATGAGCTGAGGTAGGATAACAGCAAATGAGCTGAGGAAGGATAACAGCAAATGAGCTGAGGTAGGATAACTGCAAATGAGCTGAGGTAGGATAACTGCAAATGAGCTGAGGTAGGATAACAGCAAATGAGCTGAGGTAGGATAACTGCAAATGAGCTGAGGTAGGATAACAGCAAATGAGCTGAGGTAGGATAACTGCAAATGAGCTGAGGTAGGATAACAGCTCTTAACCTGCAAAATCAACTGTGTAGAAGGAAAAGGTGTTCCTCGCATTGTTTGCTTTGTTTCTTTGTCATCTTAAGATAACTTGTTGGTAACTTTTCGATAACCTCATCAAGGCTATTAACAATCACCCATAAAAACTTTTCAGATCTCTTTAAGAGGTTCCCTAACAACTTATCAGACCTTTCAGCAACTTCGACTAACTACCTGGCCGAGGTTAACGACCTCTCCTAACAAGTAGACAAGATGCTGCAACATTGTAAGATCTCCCGACAACCTCCCGAGTCTATCACGAGGTTGACGAGTTCTCCCCACAACCTCTTGAAAGCTTAGTATCTTCTGAGCACCTGATAACTATTGACGATCTGATAACCGCTCAGAACTTCCTGATAGCTTACGAAGTCGCCGTGACGCGGAGAGCTCCTTCTGCCTATACCTACGCCATTCTGCCACGTCACCCATGGTAACTTCTTCCCCCTTTCACCCACCACCTATGACAACCTCTTCCCCTCTGCACGCCCCCACCCGTGATAAGCGATAACCTTCTCTCTGTCTGACTGACAATTCCCTGATACAGAGACTACTCTCCCTGCCTCCTGTCCCTTCCAGGGACATTGTTGAAACACTTTTCATCGCTGTCCTGAAGAATTACACGTCTGGGAGGAGACAGATGCTTCTTCGGACGGTCTTGACACACACACACACACACACATTGGCCATATGAAATGCTAGGTTGGTTAGTGGTGTGAGGTATCGATACGAGGGTATGTAGACACGTAGGCAGTTACATGGAACTTTTATTGGGGTGACGTTTCGCTCACCTTTATCAGGTCGCAAACAGATCGTGGTGGTGATTGTCTACCTGCAGTCCGTCCATGTCTACCTGCAGTCTGTCTCTGCCGACCTGCATTCCGTCCCCGTCTACCCATGGTCTTTCTGTCGTTCCTGTCATAATTACTGTTAAGATTATGCAAGATTTTATCTCAAGATTAAAAATAATTCTTGTTGACAAGAAAGAGAGGAGTGACGAATGGGGAGGAGGGACGAGGAGAGAAATAATATTCTAGTAGAGAAGACGAGGAAGAGATGTGGAAAATGACGAGTGGGAGAGAACGAGAAAAAAACACGACAGATTGAACACAAACACCTCCTCGATGATTTATTTTTTTTTTTTTTACATTTGTGCACATTTTTATTATCAAGGACCATATTATCAGGGCCATACAGCGCTGTTGTTCATTTGTACACAGGATGCTGGAAGTCGAGTTGACTGGTGGTGATTATCGTAATCAAAACCAAGCGTTAAAACCACTAGGGTGTGACTGGTGATGAGAGTAACGTCAAGGTTTGATGACAAGCCAAGACTTCGTGGCTTTTTGAACTTGAAGGGGCATTTCCCCTCTTCTCCCTTCACCTCCCTTCATATCTCGTATCTCCCCCTCACTACATCGTACCCTTCACTTCGAGTACCATCCGTCTTCAAGCGCTCCAGTAAAAGTTTTCAGAGAGCTTTTCGCAGTGGTCAAAAGTACATCGTTATGGCAGTGTTTTAAGATTTCAAGACGTTATCTTCAGTGTTTATATGTGGTGGTATATTTCAAGTGGGGAAAGGGGGACTGTGGTAAGCTATTTCTAGTGGGAAGAGGGGAATGTTGCGATAAAATGTCTGTTAGAGGGGAAGGGGAGGGGGAAATTGATGTAGAGCAAGAGAATGTTCCTTCAGTATGACTAGTTTGGGATTCACTCAAGTGTGTTGGATCATAATGCTTTTCTCAGGGTCTCAAGTGCGGGGATTCCTGCAATAGTGTGACTAGAAACTATATTAATTACAGGGGTTATTGTTATTGTAGGAGATATCTGCTCTGGTGGGATAATTCACTACTCGGGTAGGAAAATCCTCACTCCGTTGGGAAAGATTACTTATTTGGATGCGCTTGTGTCTTATTCATCTTGTTAGCATTGTTTACCTGTCGAAATTCTTAGTTCTCTCCCTCTCTCTCTTTCACACACACACACACACACACACACACACACACACACACACACACACACACACACCACACACGTCCACACGTCCACACGTCCACAATGTCCTGAGGAAGAGCACAGCAGAATGGTTTCCGTCTTCCAGACATACTTAGCAAAATGAGATAAATCTCTGTGATGGTGTACGTGTGTGGGATGGAAGTTGGTGGTTTTATATGGATACACGGTGGACGCTTCTCCTCAAAACACGGCTTTTCACTCGGTGCCACAGACTTAAAATACCGTGTAGCTCTTGTTGAGCTGATGGTTGTGGTTGGCGGTGGTCGGAGGGAGAGAAAGGGAAAAATGGAAGGGAGAGGGAAGGGAAAAAAGGGGGGGATGGGAGAGTGAGAGAGGAAGGAGCTACGAAAAGAGAGACGAGAGGACTATTCAGGGACCTTCACGGGTGATGAGGGACATTGTCATCTCCACATCTTTCTCCCCCTCCCTTCCCCCTTCCCCTTCGTAACGAGATACGAACTCTAGACGGAAGTTTTGCCTGAATGACGCAAGTTCAGGCCCCTCAGTATTCCTTGTGTATCGTTGCATTCACAATAGTGTGAAAATCTGGTTTGTGTTGACGGGAATGTTGGGGACAAGTGACCACAATGCTTGTTGGTGTCAGAGTTGGAAGGGGTGCTGGCCGGGGAGCATTGGAAGGGGTGCTGGCAGGGGATGTACTGAGGCAGTGTTGTCTAGTATCTTTCTCGGGATACCGAGGCGTGCAAGCGACAGTATCGAGGGAAGGACAAGTGTAGATCACTCTTTTATTTTGACGATATAACTCAACATAGAGGGAAACATAGCTTATTAAAACTCTACAGAGAACGAAAAAAAATGATTTGATCAAGCTGTACATAGAGCGAAACATAATTTGATAATGTTGTACACTGAACGAAATGTTGCCACAATAATAGCTGACTTTGCACCTGTGTCTTTCAGCACATTTCTCACCTGCCCCTCTTGTAAACATTGCCAGAATAAATTGCCACAATAAATTGCCATTTCTTGTTGAAAACACATAATTGGAATAAGTAATGTATTATTTAATTCATTGGTCTGGTAAATATGGAGTGGTAGGCTTTGTTTCAGAAGCGTTTCGGCAAGACTTGGCATATCAGGGCTAGATACGGTATAAATTGTATCTGGCCCTATAACCCTTAACAAGAAGATTAAAACCTGGTCCACAGTAACCCTGGTAAATAAACATGGGGAAATATTTTACACTGACATGTAGGCCACGTTCAGTACAGACACGCACGCGTCACATACAGGTATATGAAAGTAATAACACATACACATTAACACAGCTACGACCAGGTATACGTAAAACGAGTATTGTGTATTCCGGATTCTCTCTGGGGTAATATTCTGTAGGGTGTGAGGCCGAAATATACGGTGCACATTCCATCTTCCTTGTTGTCTTTGTTTTGGTTCATTTGTGTCAAATGCGTAGTCTCCATGCCAAATCAACCAGGCTGTCATGGATATATGGGGCATCGGGCCACCAGCAGCACCATCCTGGTTGACCAGGATGTTACTCCCGGAGCCTGGCCTATGGCCGGGTTCCGGGAGTAGAAAAACTCTCTGAACTTACCAAAGGTATAAAGGTATATTTGTGTGTGTCACAAGCATACTGTTGTCTCTATGTGGGTGTCACACACATACTATTATCTCCATGTTGGTTCGTTCGTGCCACACACTGGTTACCTCCATGTTGGTTCGTTCGTGCCACACACTTGTTACCTCCATGTTGGTTCGTTCGTACCACATGCATGTTGTTATATCCGTGTGGGTTCGTTCGTGTCACACATATCCTGTTATATCCGTGTGGGTTCGTTTGTGCCACGCGCATGCTGTTATCTCCGTGTGGGTTCCCTCGTGCTTCACGCATACTTTTCACAATTAATATCCCCTGATGGCAGCCGCCAGATTTTGTACTTAAATTTATTTTCCAGCATCAAAAAGAATATAACTTCTTGGCAAACACTCACTTTTGAACAAGGGAAAAATGAACTTTATCGAGCGAGCCAGCCTACGTCACGAAGAAATAATTAATGATCACCTGGAACTGATGACATTTAGAGTGTGGGGTCAGGTCGCCCCCAGCGCCTGTGACCTCAGGGCTGAGGTCAACCGTGGCTGCTTCTGTGTGTGGAGAGGGCTAACAAGGCCCTCCAAATGGACCTGAGTGTGGGGTTCGGAGAGGCTGGCATGCCCCTCCCGAGGGACTTCAGCCAGACCGTCTTGCTGACAGAGAACGATGCGAGACTTCTGTCGCCACAAGTTTTATTGAGGGCGGTGTAGTTCAGAGTGCCGTCACGCTCATGAGACTTTGTTAGACAGCGAGACATTACTGTTGTTTAATACAAAAATAGACAGATATAGTGATGGCGAGGAGGAAGAGGAGAGAACAATAAACAGCGAAGAAAGCGGCCGGAAGTGAGGGAGACTTAAAAATGAAAAGAGTGAAGAGTGAGACAAAAGGAAGAAAAACAGTGGTTAGACAAAAGAATAACAGTGGAGAGTGAGACAATAAGGAGGGAAGACCTTGGAGAGTGAGAAAGTAAAACGGAAAACTTTAGAGAGAGGGAGGAGGCCTCCGAGGTGGTGTGGACGAGAGTATTGACGGCCATGCTGGGGGAGGAGACGGTGGATGGAGGCATTGTGTCCGAGCGGCGACGATTCTTCGAGCGGCAGGAAACAACGGACAGTAACTTCTCGTGCTTCTCCGGCGCTGCCGACGACCTCATCCTGACGGTGACGCGCGCCCCCCTCGGCTTCCGCAGTGGGGGCAGGCGGAGGTCGCTGGAGGGAGCTCAGAACCGACTCCTGGAGACGGCCCTATGCTTCGACTCCGAGGTAGACTTGGAGGAGAAGCGCGTGCTGGATTCTCATAGCATCGACACCCCTGCCTGGTTGCCGCTGCAGTCTGCCCTCACAAACTCCAGACACAATGGCCACTCCGACATCCTACCCTCTGACGTAGCCGGGGGTCCCTGCGACGTGGAAGCCGGCAACCTGGGCGCGTCCAGTGGACGCTTCAGCCATGCCCGGAGATACGTCGGCCTCCGGCTGGGCCAAGGCCACCACAAGCGCCGTCCCTCCCCTATCCGGCGACGTACCCGGGAGGAGGACGGAGGCAAGGAGTCCCCGCCCATTACCGTCAATGTCTCCTCATCTGCCTCCTACCCGGAGAACTTCTACCCGATCTTCCTGCCCATGGATCAAGCCTTCAAGGCCAAGTACGTCTTCGCCAGTAAGAAAGGCAAGACTTTGAAGGACAAGACTTACCTCTTCCTGGAACATCCCTGCGGCTGGATCTGCTTCTTCTACCACTTCTTTGTGTGAGTACACTTCTACCACTTCTTTGTGTGAGTACACTTCTACCACTTTGTGTGAGTACACTTCTACCACTTCTTTGTGTGAGTACACTTCTACCACTTCTTTGTGTGAGTACACTTCTACCACTTCTTTGTGTGAGTAACATTTTACACTTCTTTGTGTGAGTACCTTCCTACCCGCTTCTTTGTGTGAGTCATTCTACCACTTCTTTGTGTGAGTACACTTCTACCACTTCTTTGTGTGAGTACACTTCTACCACTTTTTGTGTGAGTACACTCTACCTTTGGTAGTACACTTCTACCACTTCTTTGTGTGAGTACACTTCTACCACTTCTTTGTGTGAGTACACTTCTACCACTTCTTTGTGTGAGTACACTTCTACCACTTCTTTGTGTGAGTACACTTCTACCGCTTCTTTGTGTGAGTACACTACCACTTCTTTGTGTGAGTACACTTCTACCACTTCTTTTGTGAGTACACTTCTACCACTTCTTTGTGTGAGTACACTTCTACCACTTCTTTGTGTGAGTACACTTCTACCATTCTTTGTGTGAGTACACTTCTACCACTTCTTTGTGTGAGTACACTTCTACACTTTGTGTGGTACACTTACCACCTTTCTTTGTGTGAGTACACTTCTACCACTTCTTTGTTTGAGTACACTTCTACCACTTCTTTGTGTGAGTACACTTCTACCACTTCTTTGTGTGAGTACACTTCTACCATTTCTTGTGTGAGGTACACTTCTACCACTTCTTTGTGTGAGTACACTTCTAACCACTTCTTTGTGTGAGTACACTTCTACCACTTTTGTGTGAGTACACTTTACCACTTCTTTGTGTGAGTACACTTCTACCTTTACACTTCTTTTGTGTGAGTACACTTCTACCACTTCTTTGTGAGTACACTTCTACCACTTCTTTGTGTGAGTACACTTCTACCAAATCTTTGTGTGAGTACACTTCTACCACTTCTTTGTGTGAGTACACTTCTACCGCTTCTTTGTGTGAGTACACTTCTACCACTTCTTTGTGTGAGTACACTTCTACCACTTCTTTGTGTGAGTACACTTCTACCACTTCTTTGTGTGAGTACACTTCTACCACTTCTTTGTGTGAGTACACTTCTACCACTTCTTTGTGTGAGTACACTTCTACCACTTCTTTGTGTGAGTACACTTCTACCACTTTGTGTGAGTACACTTCTACCACTTCTTTGTGTGAGTACACTTCTACCACTTCTTTGTGTGAGTACACTTCTACCACTTTGTGTGAGTACACTTCTACCACTTCTTTGTGTGAGTACACTTCTACCACTTTGTGTGAGTACAACTTCTACACTTTTGTGTGAGTACACTTCTACCACTTCTTTGTGTGAGTACACTTCTACCACTTTGTGTGAGTACACTTCTACCCCTTTGTGTGAGTACACTTCTACCACTTCTTTGTGTGAGTAAAACTTCTACCACTCTTTGTGTGAGTACACTTCTACACTTTGTGTGAGTACACTTCTACCACTCTTTGTGTGAGTACACTTTACACTTCTTTGTGTGAGTACACTTCTACCACTTTGTGTGAGTACACTTCTACCACTTCTTTGTGTGAGTACACTTCTACCACTTTGTGTGAGTACACTTCTACCACTTCTTTGTGTGAGTACACTTCTACCACTTCTTTGTGTGATACACTTCTACCACTTTGTGTGAGTACACTTCTACCACTCTTGTGTGAGTACACTTCTACCACTTCTTTGTGTGTGAGTACACTTCTACCACTTCTTTGTGTGAGTACACTTCTACCATTTCTTTGTGTGAGTACACTTCTATCGGGGTCACTTTTTACCACTTCTTGTGTGAGTACACTTCTACCACTTCTTTGTGTGAGTACACTTCTACCACTTCTTTGTGTGAGTACACTTCTACCACTTCTTTGTGTGAGTACACTTCTACCACTTCTTTGTGTGAGTTACACTTCTACCACTTCTTTGTGTGAGTACACTTCTACCACTTCTTTGTGTGAGTACACTTCTACCACTTCTTTGTGTGAGTACACTTCTACCACTTTGTGTGAGTACACTTCTACCACTTCTTTGTGTGAGTACACTTCTACCTTCTTTGTGTGAGTACATTTCTACCACTTCTTTGTGTGAGTACACTTCTACCACTTCTTTGTGTGAGTAAAACTTCTACCACTTCTTTGTGTGATTACACTTCTACCGCTTCTTGTGTGAGTACACTTCTAACACTTCTTTGTGTGAGTACACTTCTACCACTTCTTTGTGTGAGTACACTTCTACCACTTCTTTGTGTGAGTACACTTCTACCACTTCTTTGTGTGAGTACACTTCTACCACTTCTTTGTGTGAGTACACTTCTACCACTTCTTTGTGTGAGTACAATTCTACCACTTCTTTGTGTGAGTACACTTCTACCACTTCTTGTGTGAGTACACTTCTACCACTTCTTTGTGTGAGTACACTTCTACCCTTCTTTGTGTGAGTACACTTCTACCACTTCTTTGTGTGAGTACACTTCTACCACTTCTTTGTGTGAGTTTTTTTTATCACTTCTACCATTCTTTGTGTGAGTACACTTCTACCACTTTTGTGTGAGTACACTTCTACCACTTCTTTGTGGAGTACACTTCTACCACTTCTTTGTGTGAGTACACTTCTCCCACTTCTTTGTGTGAGTACACTTCTACCACTTTTGTGTGAGTCCCTTTAACTTCTTTGTGTAGACACTTCTACACTTCTTTGTGTGAGTACACTTCTACCACTTCTTTGTGTGAGTACACTTCTACCACTTCTTTGTGTGAGTACACTTCTACCACTTTGTGTGAGTACACTTCTACCACTTCTTTGTGTGAGTACACTTCTACCACTTCTTTGTGTGAGTACACTTCTACCACTTCTTTGTGTGAGTACACTTCTACACTTCTTTGTGTGAGTACACTTCTAACCATTTTCTTTGTGTGAGTACACTTCTACCACTTCTTTGTGTGAGTACACTTCTACCACTTCTTTGTGTGAGTACACTTCTACCACTTCTTTGTGTGAGTACACTTCTACCGCTTCTTTGTGTGAGTACACTTCTACCACTTCTTTGTGTGAGTACACTTCTACCACTTCTTTGTGTGAGTACACTTCTACCACTTCTTTGTGTGAGTACACTTCTACCACTTCTTTGTGTGAGTACACTTCTACCACTTCTTTGTGTGAGTACACTTCTACCACTTTTTTGTGTGAGTACACTTCTACCACTTCTTTGTGTGAGTACACTTCTACCGCTTCTTGTGTGAGTACACTTCTAACCACTTCTTTGTGTGAGTACACTCTACCACTTCTTTGTGTGAGTACACTTCTACCACTTTTTGTAGAGTACACTTCTACCACTTCTTTGTGTGAGTACACTTCTACCACTTCTTGTGTGAGTACAACCACTTCTTTGTGTGAGTACACTTCCCCATTCTTTGTGTGAGTACACTTCTACCACTTCTTTGTGTGAGTACACTTCTACCACTTTGTGTGAGTACACTTCTACCACTTCTTTGTGTGAGTACACTTCTACCACTTCTTTGTGTGAGTACACTTCTACCACTTCTTTGTGTGAGTACACTTCTACCACTTCTTTGTGTGAGTACACTTCTACCACTTTCTTTGTGTGAGTACACTTCTACCACTTCTTGTGTGAGTACACTTCTACACTTCTTTGTGTGAGTACACTTCTACACACTTCTTCCATTGTGTGAGTACACTTATCCACTTCTTTGTGTGAGTACACTTCTACCACTTCTTTGTGTGAGTACACTTCTACCACTTGTGTAGTACTTCTACCACTTCTTGTGTGAGTACACTTCTACCCACTTCTTTGTGTGAGTACACTTCTACCATTTCTTTGTGTGAGTACACTTCTACCACTTCTTTGTGTGAGTACACTTCTACCACTTCTTTGTGGTCACTTCACCTTTTTGTGTAGACACTTCTACCACTTCTTTTGTGTAGTACACTTCTACCACTTTGTGTGAGTACACTTCTACCACTTCTTTGTGTGAGTACACTTCTACCACTTCTTTGTGTGAGTACACTTCTACCACTTTGTGTGAGTACACTTCTACCACTTCTTTGTGTGAGTACACTTCTACCACTTCTTTGTGTGAGTACACTTCTAACCGCTTCTTTGTGTGAGTACACTTCTCACCACTTCTTTGTGTGAGTACACTTACCACTTCTTTGTGTGAGTACACATTCTACACCTTCTTTGTATGAGTACACTTCTCCCACTTCTTTGTATGAGTACACTTCTACCACTTCTTTGTGTGAGTACACTTCTACCACTTCTTTGTGTGAGTACACTTCTACCACTTCTTTGTGTGAGTACACTTCTACCACTTCTTTGTGTGAGTACACTTTTTAATACCACTTCTTTGTGTGAGTACACTACCACTTCTTTGTGTGAGTACACTACCACTTCTTTGTGTGAGTACACTACCACTTCTTTGTGTGAGTACACTACCACTTCTTTGTGTGAGTACACTCTACCACTTCTTTGTGTGAGTACACTACCACTTCTTTGTGTGAGTACACTACCACTTCTTTGTGTGAGTACACTTCTACCACTTCTTTGTGTGAGTACACTACCACTTCTTTGTGTGAGTACACTACCACTTCTTTGTGTGAGTACACTTCTACCACTTCTTTGTGTGAGTACACTACCACTTCTTTGTGTGAGTACACTACCACTTCTTTGTGTGAGTACACTACCACTTCTTTGTGTGAGTACACTTCTACCACTTCTTTGTGTGATACACTACCACTTCTTTGTGTGAGTACACTACCACTTCTTTGTGTGAGATACACTTCTACCACTTCTTTGTGTGAGTACACTACCACTTCTTTGTGTGAGTACACTACCACTTCTTTGTGTGAGTACACTACCACTTCTTTGTGTGAGTACACTTCTACCACTTCTTTGTGTGAGTACACTACCACTTCTTTGTGTGAG